AAAAAATTAGCAAAGCTTTATCTTCTCATTATAACTATCTAATTCCTGTCGTAATCTGTTCTTTTATACATATAACTTAAACAAAATATAATTTCGAGGTTTCACATCTGCCAGACATCCCTTTTTTATTTGTACATAGTTTGTTTGTACTTTGTTCATGCTTTTCTTTTGTTCATGTATTGTATTGTTTGTAAATATCTCAAGCAAAGCCAATCGGCTCTTTTCAAAACCACTGAAGGTGTGCAATTGCATATTATGTCATACAATCTATCTAGCGGTAGTATGCTTTCTGTGTGCTTTGTTAAACACGTCCTTGACAGCACTGAATGTGAAACTAAAGAGTGGAGACAGCTCAAGATTGGTGTATTTTTATTAAACTGCTAAAAACAACAAAACCATATCTTGGGCCTGCCCTAGTTTGGAGCCCTAGCTTCGCCACTGGTTCGCGATTAGTTTGAATAATGTTTTTTTTTTTGTTACGGTAGACTATATTAAAATTTCTTCTTTTTAGATTCTTTTCTTAAAGATAGAATTAAAATATAAAACAATACAATAAATTTTATTGTTTTTCACAATACAATAAATTTTATTGTTTTTCCACATATTTATAAAACACATTTTATAAAACAATACAATAAATTTTATTGTTTTTCACAATACAATAAATTTTATTGTTTTTCCACATAAAAACAAATTCAATCCAAGCTGACTTAGTCAATTTTAACAATTAAAATTTTTTTTTTAATAATGCCAAGAAAATTATCAGAAGTTTTATGACCAAGAACTAACTTTGAGGGAAGAAGGATAATCCATGTGAGAAATAGCATGCAGAACTGTATTCAAATCTTGTATCGTGGCTATGTTGCAGAGGCACCGCAACATGGATAATTTAGCTGACTGACCCCGCAGTGGTCACCCAACTGTTCTGACTGCTGTTTAGAAGCGCTTTATCAGATTGTTGGCAGCCCTTGGACCCAACAATCAATGCCAGTACAATAAAAGTGTGAAGAAGTGCAGGCCACTCCTGGACTTGAAGTAAAGAAAAAGGTAAGGTAAGGTAAAGAAATGCCACAGGGACCAATCAGCAAGGCGGGAAATCGGTGTACCTTTGGAGTGGAATTATGATTGGAGCTAGAACACCTCTGATCTCATATCAAGGTTCCATGACGGCAGATGGGTACAAAACAGTCGCTATTGATGGAATTGTCAGACCATTCTGAGTAAACCACAGGCACCAAATCGTACTGATTGATGGTAATGCGTCCGCACATCAAGCTCAACACAAGGTTAGACTGGCATGCGGGCTCGCATGATATAAACCCAATAGAGCACGAGCCGTAGCAGCTGAGGCTGGTCGCCAAAAGCGACCAATAAGCCAAAACTGCAGAGGTGAGCACAGCATGCGGCGGGCGAAGGCGTCTCTACCTCCACACTTACGGCTTTACATAAACACTCTAGGGGTAGGGCAGACAAAACTATGTGGATTAGGGGCAAGCTGATTCAGTTTTAGTACAGATTTGACCTATCTTATCTCTAAAGCTAGGTTGCCTTAAGCTCTACTATGATAGTCGTAAATGAAATAATATAATGTGAAATGTTATAGTTTAGTTTTCTGAAAAACGTCTTGATTGTTCTCCACCGCAATTTAATTCATTGTATAATAGTCCCATCTTCCGCTATAAATGAATTGTCTGTGTTAAAGCAATTAACTCTTTAATTGGTTTAAAAAAAATAATTTACATTTCATTATATGCAATTTTTTGTGATTTTTTTTGGAATTAATTCAAAACTCATTACAGAAACCCGTGAACACTGTAAAAATTTTAAGCTTAACCCTGACAAACCTCCTATAATGAAAACATAATTAAATTTAAGTAATGAATGTCTACTTGATAATACTAGACCAAATGGACATACAGTGGATTTCATTTATTACGACCTTGGTTGTAGCAACCATTTACCTATAGCAACGTTAAATCTAAGTCCCTTAAATTTGAAGCATACTTTAGTACAAAATTCTTGCGGCTATAGCTACTTTGGATGTAATGCCGAGTTCTGGTATAGCGACTGTTTTTGATGAATAATTTGTAACAAATTCTTAGAAATCCCTTGTAGATATTGGGACCAGAGTGGGCCACCAAATACACAAAGATTTCTTACCTTTTGTTTATAGATATCAGCTAAGTAGGTAGGAGAGCATGTACCTTTCGGAGTTAAATTTATGGTTCAGTTATAAAGTGATATTCTGAGTATCATTTTGAAATGTACCAGTGAATATGAATATGTACGCAAATTTTTCAACAATAAATGAATATAAACTATACATGTGTATGTGACTGTATCTCTTTACCTTTGCCTGTAACGACTTCCGGATATAACGACGAAAATTGAGTGGTCCCTTCATCGTCATTATACCCAAAATCCACTGTATTTGCAATTCATTATAAGTAATTTTTAGTGAAATTTATTTTTATCATAATTAAATTTAACATGCATTTCAGACAGCCAAAAACAGTATAAAAGGTTCAATCTTAACCCTGACAAGCTATAGCTCCTAAACTGAAAATATAATTATAGTATCGGATGTCTATAGCCAACCCAAATTCTTGCAGCCTAATAAATTTCCTCTTAATTTAGGCCTCAATTTTAAAATGAGTAAATATTACAGATGTATTTTTATTTAAGTTATTTCCTGCATTCACTCGTCGTTCAATATCCCTTATCATATCTCCCATCCCTGCTGAATACACATCCCAAATATACGAACTCATCCACTTGCTCAATTAACTCTCCTTCTATTCTTATTTCACATACCGTTTTGCTTTCATCTCTTTCAAAAACCATCACTTTCGTCTTACTTGCGTTCACTTTCATTCCCCTTTCTTTTAATGACCTGTTCATTAATGTAACCATCATTTGCAACTCGGCCGCCGACGACGCAGGTATGACTTGATCATCGGCGTACAAAAGGCATTTGATGGTTAACTCACCCATTCTTAACCCGCATTCTTCAACTTTCAAATTTTCCAAACAGCTGTCCATAAATAGGTTGAACAGCCACGGGGAAGCTACACAGCCCTACACCTACAAACCAGCAGACCCTACAACCCAACAATCCTGTATCAAACCAGCGCTCAACCTAAATGCGTTCAGCGTTTGCCATAACACATCCCTGTCCACTCTGTCATAAGCCTTTTCCAAGTCCATGAACACACAAAAAACTTTTTGGTTTTTCGCCAAAAACTTCTCCGCGATCATGCGCATGGAAAAGACTTGATCTGTACACCCCATTCCCTTTCTAAATCCCGCTTGCACATCCCAAATTTTTTCATCAGTTTCTTTCATAACTCTTTCAATTAGTACCTTAGCATACAGTTTTCCCACAATGCTAAGAAGGCTGATACCACGGTAGTTTTTACAGTCCTGCTGTGACCCTTTTCCCTTATATATTGAGACTATCACGGCTTTGCACCAGTCTCCCGGTACCCGCTTTAGTTCCCAACATAAATTAAACAAGGTGTACAGCAGGCCTGCCACCACGTCCTCTCCAGCTCTTAGCATTTCGGGTGAAACTCTATCATATCCGGCTGCCTTACCTACTTTCATGCTTGTCATTGCTTTCATTATTTCATCTATACTTATCTCCCTATCTCTTTCATCTTCTTTCGGAATTTCTATTTCATTTAGTTCACACTTCTCCTCACTCATAAATTCGCTTTCAAAATATTCCTTCCATCTCTTTAGACTCAACACTTCATCATTCAGGATACAGCCATTCTCGTCTCGTATCCCATTCAATCTAGGCTATAAAGTAAATGGGGCTCTACACTCTATTGTGAAAAGTCAGAATGTGTTAAAAAAAGCACGTATGGCAATTCACAGTGCTGTATTAGTCCCTACTTTAACATATGGTAGTGAAAGTTGGGTGTGGCAGAAGAAGCACGAGAGTAGAATAAATGCAGTAGAAATGCGGTCGCTAAGGAGTATGTTAGGGCTGAATCTGAGTGACAGGGTGAGAAACTGTGTGATAAAAGAAGAGTGTGGTTTGCAAGATGATGCGGTGACCAGGATTAAGAAAGGAATGCTTCGGTGGTTTGGTCATGTAGAAAGAATGAATGCAGAAAGACTGACAAAGCAAATATATGTTGCAGAAGTGAATGGAAGAGTCGGAAAGGGACGTCCTAGGCGGAAGTTTGTCGACCAAATTGGCGATATACTAAAAATGGGCCAAATTAAGAGTACCCTTAACCGACGAGCATGTATGCGTAAGGTATATGGATGTGGAAGAGGTGAGAAAGGTATGTCAGGATCGTGCTAAATGGAAGTCTGTAGTCTCTGCCTACCCCTCTGGGTGACAGGCGTGAGTGTTTATGTTTATGTTTTTTATGTATTTTTATGTAGTGCTTCTCCTACATGTGATCAAGGGATGTTTCATTTGACAATAACCTAGAAACCAACAAAGGCAGTATAAAATATTTTACAACATAAAAGGTACAAGTCATGTGAGTGATACAGTCACGTAAAGTGATATTTTGAGTTCCACATTGCCAATTGAACAATTATTTTAATGGTACACAATGATAAAATTTATATTCAAAATAAATAATTTATTTCTTGATCACTAATCTGTATTACTGATGATCCACTTACATCCAAAAGACCTTAAGTGCCAATGTCAATCACAAATTATACAATTTTTATGATCATGACCTTGCTATAATAAAATTTCTTAATTGTGCAGTTACCCATTTCCAAAATATAAAGTAGAAAGTATAAATCGAGATGTAAGGAAATTAGATTTGATAAATAACAATAATATTGCTTAATGATACCATCAATTCGTTGAAGAAAAATATGAGACGCGTAGAAAAAGTAAATAAAATAATAATAAGTGACTTCATGTTATCAAACACTAATACAAAATATATTCAGGTTATAAGTAACTGCGACACAATTTTGGAGTTTAGCCAGAAAGAAAACATCAAAAACGAGAAACTCACCCGATGTTAATTGGGAATTTCTCTGAACCGCTATCCTTCCCACCGACACGAAGCTGAGTCGTACGCTGCTCATTCTTGCTTGTTAATTTTTAATTTATTCACTAAACACATCAGCCCGCAATCACAATTGACAGCAGAGATGCAATAACGAAATACAAGTGAAACAAGCAAGTCGCCTGTAATTCGTAGTATCAATTTTTGTTGTATTTGCAGTATTTGTTTGTCAGTGAGAGCTGAGAGGACTATTGTATCATGACGCAACACTTTCAGTCAACATCAACACCGACAGTGTCCTAAATTCTAACACACTTTTTTGCTTAATGAGCACGATGATTGCACTTTTCTAATTATTTAAATGATTTTTTAGAAACAATTTTATTTTGGAGTTAAATGAGCGGCCATACTGATGTTCACAGCTGATTTTGATGTGAAGTAGTAAAATGGAATTTTCTTGTACCACGTTGTTTTAACAATGTCGCCATCTACACTTTCATACAAAAAATATTGAAGGCATAAATGAAAAAAAAAAACAATTACAATCAATTTATTATTCAATTAGTTTTCAGTACAAAGATTTGCGGATTTTTCCTAAATTATATGTAAAAGCACACTATTTACGATTTCCAGTCTATTGAATGATAGGTGACATTCTTGGGAGATTTTTAAATTTCTATTTGAGAACACCGAAATCGTCATGTAATGTTGCAACTTCACAAAGATTGTACACACACACACACATATATATATATATGATATATACATATATACATGTAACAAAAACCCTGTGGTTCCCGTTAACTGTGTTATCAGAATCAGTATCCAAGCATATAGGGATAATTTTTTTTTAAAAACACATTAAAAAAAAATTTGATGAAAAAAAAATAATTTGCAAATTGTATGTGGTTTTATTATCTCTGCATTGGCCGAGGAATAAGAGGATTGTCAAAAACCCCGCAGTACAGACACTCGTGTGTGTTAGAGGTAATAACACCACATACAATTTTATACGTGGTAGAGCCATGCTGCAGTTATATTAGATGTATAGTTGTAGCACTAATGGGTCGGCTCAACCGGGGAAGGACCACGCTCTCATTGAATACCAGCGTGAAATAGTAGCTTAATGCTGCTGTGTTTCGTATGGTGAGTGTAGAGAACCGGAGACCCTTTTTACTGGAAACGAGGCATTCCATCTTAGTCCTCACGGGTGACATCGCATCTGCATTTTGATTCGTAATTGAGGATAGATGTAGATGTCTATGGGCCACAGCAACCACTTACCATCAGGTGGACTGTGTGCTCGTTTGTAATCCTATCCTATAAAAAAAAATACAATTTGCAAATTAATTTTTTTTTCATCAAAATTAATTTTTTTAAACGTGTTTTTTTTAAAAAAAATTATTTCTATATGCTTGGATACTGATTCTGATAACAAACTTAATTATATTATATATATATATATATATATATATATATATATATATATATATATATATATATATATATAAAAATATATATATATATAAAACAACACAAAACAAATTAGAAATAGCTTGTTAGCGGCCTCCCTCAACCAACCATCCTGAGGGTTATTATCATCCATAACTACTGACAATAAGAATTACTGCAGGCCCTGGGCACTTGCATTCCACTTAACTTTCTATACAATATTCTTCGTTATCATCATCATTATTCATCACCATCGTTAGGAACCTAACCTAAGGAATTTTAAAGAATTTATGAATCAACGAACTAGTTGAATCAACCGTTGATCTCCTGTCAACGTATTAACGTTTACTGTTTATGAATCAACTAGTTGAATTCGTCAACGACGTTTATGAATTCAACTTGTGCGACTCGTTCAATAAACGAGAACGCAAACGCAACGGACTCACCAAATTAAAAAAAACTTACATTGAAAATACGTCAAAGACTGCGAGCGACGGTCAAGTCATGCAATTTGAACTCTAAGTAAGAATAGTACTTATGACAACATTGGTGGAATGGCGCGCCCCCCTCGTGCTGCCCGAGAAGAACGAGTTAAAACTAGTTTGTTTACGTTTATGAAGAATATGAAGTTCGCTTTTTTTAATTTTTGATTGAGTTTGTGACAAGTTGCGCGGAAGGTCAGCAGCTTAAGGTACAAAATTGAAAATGTGAGGACATATTAGGGGTAATAGTGAATTGTGACCGGTTGGAGGGGTATGAATTAAATGTAAAAAAAAACAAATTGATGAATGTACATATATCAACATAAGAATTATGTAAAAAAAACAAAATAATAAAAAAAAAACAAAACTAAAAACATATTGTAAATAATAATTAATTTGTGTAAATAGAATCAGATGATCTTTTAAATACGCCTGAGTAGAATATGGTTTATAAATAATTGTATTCAGTCAGTCCTAAACCTAAAGAAAAAGTATGAAGGGAAGGTCATCTAAGTAGATCCATCAATCAAACGTTTTCCAATATATACATCAATATATAAATTGTTTCTAAAATTGAACTCACTAGTGTCGTGACAGCTAGATTAGTTTATTTCAGTTGTTTCCATAGCATAATGTCATATGGAATTTTGCTATGGGGGGAATGCGGCCCAATTAGAAACTATTTTTGTTTTGCAGAAGAGGGCCATTAGAGTTATTTACAACACTAAACCGAGAGAGTCTCTTAGAGAAAATTTAAAGAAATAAATATATTAACTTTGGCCTCTCAGTATATCTATGAAAATTTAATGTACGTTTACAAAAATAAAGGTAGTTTTAGTAAAAAAAGTGACATACACTCTGTAAACGCTAGGAACAAACACAAAATGGTACTACCAGTTTCTTGACTCCACAGAGTCAGTAATTCATTTTTGGGGCAATGTATTCGCTATTACAACAAAGTCCCGTAAAATATACAAGGTCTCTCTATTACCAAGTTTAAATATTTAATTAAAAAAACTGTATAAAAAGGGTTATTATGATATAAATGAATACATGGTTGATTATAACCTCTGGGAATGAGATGGTCGCTTCCAAGCTGTTTCACAATAAATTTTGTAAATATTTTGTGACATTGTAAAATTTATTTAAAAAAAGTCCCGCTGGGTTTCTTGCTGATTCTTCCCAGGACAGAGGTTTTTTTTCGAACCAGTGGTAACGTAAAATATTGACTTTCAATAAGAATTACTTGTAATCTATATTGACTAAAAAATTATTCTATTCTATTATTATTCCGAAATACTGATTTTTATAGATGAACGGTTATTCACCTGTTTCTATTTCGGTTTAGTTTCGTAGATGTAGGTATTCAGAAATGCGATAATACTGAAGGTAAGATACGGAACTACAATAAAATAATAACGCACCTAATCATAAGAAATAAAACTAAATCAGACGACGAGTTTCATATATTACATGTGGGATATCATGAAAGGGTTATTTCCCGAGCTTCATAGCCTCAATAAGATCTTTTTGCCTATCGTGGTAACTTCGGTATCCCGGGAGCGGTTATTTTCGGAGGCTGGATCTACAATCACCCAGGAGAGAAACCACTTACTAGGCACCAGGTTGTCGAAATTGTTATTTTAAAATTCAATTCGAAAGAAATAAACGAAAAAATAATATATATATATATATATAATTATATATATTATATAAAAAACAAGAATTATATATAATAATATATATAATTCTTGTTTTCTCATAATTATTCGATAAAATTAAATGTGTAAAAAATAAATAGTTTAAAACTTCCTAAAATAACATAAATATAAAGTTTGATTATTATACTTCTTTCTTTCATTTCTTTTCAAAATAATAATTTATTTCATACGTATGTTTTATAAAAAACATCGAAAAAATCGATATATCGTACATAAGCTTCGATGTTTTTAATAAGTGATGTTGCATCCTATAGATATGCTTATTTGGCAAAATTATGACTCGAGTTAACTCAAGTTCAAATTCACACAACTCGAACTAAAGCGTTATATAAATATATAAAAATAGTTACATAAAGCGTATAACTCGTTAGCAGGACGAAACACAGTAAATGATTTGTTAAAATTACTTTCAAAATATTGATTCAATAAATATATATACTTTTTTCACTCGTCCATTCTTATGACTGAGTAAGGGCGTAAAGTTAGGGTAGTGTAATAACTGACGTCCATAACTAGGCGCCACGCCCACCCTTCATTCAGGGCCCTGATTCAGGGTGGTGTAATAGGGGCACAAAGCGTTTATTACATTATTAAATTTTTAGAAAATCTAATTAGGAACCAAGTTGGAAGCTAATGTTTATTTTCATTACACTTAAGCGCTTATTACATTATACAATTTTTAGAAAATCTAATTAGGAAGTAGGAAACTGTACGTTTCAAAAGGAGTTTTCTTCCGCGTACAACCTCTCTGTGGAATAATTTACCACCGGTGATTTTTCCGGACCGATACGACCTGGGGACCTTCAAGAAAAGAGCTTACTCCTTTCTAAAGGGCCGGCAACGCACCTGCAATTCCCCTGGTGTTGCGGTTGATCATGGGCGGCGGTAGTCACTTAACATCAGGTGAGCCACATGCTCGTTTGCCCCCTCTTCTATAAAAAAAAAAAAAAAAAAAAAAGGAAGGTGTAATCGTAGTTAGAACAGTTAGGATCCGATTTAGTCAAATTGGAGGTCCCGATCGCTCTACTTTCTAAATTGTTTACAATTTAGGAGTGTAATCGCAACGTTACGATTTAGAACAACCAGTCGGCGCCCGCGCTTTGATACAAGCGGATGTCTTGAAGTTTTGATAGAAGTCTGATATCAGAGAGCAGTACTTTAAATCTTATTATTAATTTCCGGTGGCTATAAAACGTAATGTCACCATCAAACATTCTTTGGGTACTTACACTTTATCGAAATATCGTGACTTCTTTTTCAATATGTTTGGATACCAAACTTAACAAATAATCAAACTGTTTTATAGGTGGTAGAGCCATGCTGCAGTTATATTAGTAGTATAGTTGTAGCACGAATGGGTCGGCTCGACCGAGGAAGGACCACGCTCTCACAGAATACCAACGTAAAATAGTAGCTTAATGTTGCTGTGTTTCGTATGGCGAGTGTAGAAAACCGGAGACCCTTTTTACTGGAAATGAGGCATGCCGACCTAATTAGTGCATGCCCATAAAGTATGACATTGACAGGTACTGTCTGTACTACTAAGAAATTCAGGACTTCATAGGCGTGATTTTACTGACAGCTGTCGCAGAGATCAAGCTATCTTTTATGAACTATAGTCGTCACAGGTGACAACGCATCTGCATTTTGATTTGTAATCAGAGATAGATGTAGATTTCCATGGACCGCAGCAACCACTTACCATCAGGTGGACTGTGTGCTAGTTTATCCTATAAAAATACTGCTTAGAATCTAAAAATATATAATTATATACAGTTTTTTCTCAATGACAAGTACTCTTTTCTCTTTTTTTAATATCCATTGTTCCCACTATGGCTAAGGCAAGTCCTATTTTCCGCTGTTTTGATAAATACAGCGCCATTGATCAAACGATTTAGAATTCAATTTAGTGTAATGTGATCACTAGCTTCCAATTTAGGTTCCTAATTAGATTTTCTAAAAATTGTATAATGTAATAAGCGCTTTAATTGAATTCTAAATCGCGAGGAAACGCATTCGTAAAAGGAGTATCGAAGGAGTTGCATGTTTAATCGATGGCGCTGTATTAATCAAAGCATCATAAAATAGGACTTGCCTTAGCCGTGGTGAAATAATGGCTATTAAAAAAAAAAGAGAAAATTCTGGGTTAAAGAATACTTGACATTGAGAAAAAACTGTCGAATATTAGTATAGTGTACATTTTGGAACCTGGCGAATTTAGAATTTTTTTTAAGAGTTAAATGTTTTAATAGTTCCGTTTCTGTCATAGTTTTTGTAAATATTTAACCTTGAAGCCCTCTTCACGCATTGTTTTGTTTAAATAGTTTTTATCAATTTTATTATACAAATAAGGAATTTCCCTATACAGGTTTATAATTTTTAATAACACCTCTTTTCTGTGGACATGCTACCACAAGAACCTGTCAAATCTGTCGCTTCACTTGCTATCGCATACAAAATAAATGTCGCACCGAAATCAAGACGTCCGCTTAGATCCTTAGATCAAAGCGCGGGCGCCAACTGGTCGTTCTAAATCGTAACGTTGCGATTACACTGTCCTAAATTGTAGACAATTTAGGAAGTAGAGCGGTCGGGACCTCATATTTTAACTAAATAGGATCCTATATGTTCTAACTACGATTACATCTTCCAACTTCCTAACTAGATTTTCTAAAAATTGAATAATCTTACACGCTTAAACGTAGTATCTTCATATATTATAGTAGCCCAAAGATTACAATTTTATTTAGTAGTCTGTGTCCACATGCGTAAGCATCATAATAGTCTGTGATGTCCAATCTGTGTCAGTGAATGAGTGAATCAGCGGCGTCTCTAGCTCTCTAGTATATATTCATTATTCAGTAATCTATGGGCGTAACGTAACGTATGCTAAGGTAGGGTATGTTGTCATCTGTAGTCAAAGTTGTCCAAAATGGCTGAGACAGATCCCGATAATAACAGTATTGTTAGACCCGAGAAAAATAATAAGGGCCCGGTGGCAAGTAATGGGCCTCGTTGCGTCACTATATATAAAACTGAAACTGGTTTTGGTTTTAACGTGCGCGGGCATGTTTCGGAAGGTGGACAGTTGCGATCAATCAACGGCGAATTATATGCACCTCTGCAGCATGTCAGCGCAGTGTTGGAGCAAGGAGCCGCAGAGCAAGCTGGTATAAGAAAGGGAGACAGGATCCTCGAAGTGTAAGTATTCTAATTTAAATAAATATATAGATGGTATCGGCGAACTCCCAACGGTAGGCGGTAACCCAAATTACCTAAGGTATTTCCAATAATAACTACCAATGAACAAATTTTTGCCATCGTTATTAAAATTAAATGTTCCCAAATCCATTTTTCTTATTACTCTATTTGATTGTACTTTAAAATTTATTTACATAAATATTAAATACCTTAATTAAACAGGAACGATTTATGAAATAACTTTTGTAACAACTTAGTGAAAGTGACTTTATCTTCAACTTACTCAATTATTTAAACATAGATTAGCTTCTACTTGGGTTATTGGTTGTTATATGTAGGTTAGTAGTACTCCTAGTACTCATAACAAAATAATAGTCTTGAATCTAGTCGGCAATTGCCGTAATATACGGCATTCCACGATTTTTTTAAAGATAATACGGCATACGGCAAGCTTTTCATTGCCGTATCAAGTATTACGGCAATTCAGCTTTGCGATAAACCACGATGGCAAATTATGAACAAAAAAACATAAAATACCTGTATCGATATCCATATTTTTTCACTTTCGTCATCCTTTAAGTGATAATAAAGAGTGTGGTTGTCTATGACGGGAAATTACCGTTCCATCTTTTATTTTATGAGACTAACAAAGATCGTATGAACATGACACATGGTTGACATTGGTAGTAGTAATGAATGAAAGACATACACATATGTACTTTGTTTATATTTTTGAATGAATGTACAACATTATGAACTATAAGATATGTACTGTACTTTTGTAGCATTTACTCTGGCAGTAAATTTAACTTTGATCCAAGTTGGCTTTGTTGGAATGGCTGCACTTTCTACAAAAATCTTAAACTCTTACTTCAAAACCCACGAAAAGGACAATGACGTCATAGTTGTTTTCCGTCGTTGTCGCCACTGACCCAGCAACTGCCACGAATTGTGAGAGAATCGGATAAGCAACGAATGGATGACGAGTGGAGGTTGCTACCAAATGTAAACAAATTTTCAGAATTAGAAATAAAAACATGGATTTTGGGCAAATGTCCAAGATACTACAGACTGCAAAATATCACCAAATTTTGCTTTAGACCTATTATGTTTATATACAACATAGCAATGCAGATTGCGAAATAGTTTTCAGTGAAAACAATATGAAAACGGAAATAAATTGATAGCATCCACTGTCAACGGAGCTCTATTAGCAAGACAAGCGGTTACAAATCAAGGAGGTTGTACGAAATTTCAAGTGTCAAATGATATGTGTAAGAAAATGAAAAGCAAAGAAAAATATTAATTGCATAGACAAATAAGTGATGTTTTCAATCAATCAGAAGAAACCTATACGGTGAAGACATTTCAGATTTTATGTGTTTTATTTAATTTTTCGTAGAAATAAATACTTTACGGCAATTTCGTGTATTTTTTCATAAATACAGCAATTTTCGTTTTTAGATACGGCAACTCAATTTTTGTCGCAACGCTGATATTCAGTAATCTATGGGCGTAACGTAACGTATGCCTATATATACTTATTATACTCTTTGACGTATGCTAAGGCTAAGGTAGGGTATGTTGTCATCTGTGGTCAAAGTTGTCCAAAATGGCTGAGACAGATCCCGATAATAACAGTATTGTTAGACCCGAGAAAAATAATAAGGGCCCGGTGGCAAGTAATGGGCCTCGTTGCGTCACTATATATAAAACTGAAACTGGTTTTGGTTTTAACGTGCGCGGGCAAGTTTCGGAAGGTGGACAGTTGCGATCAATCAACGGCGAATTATATGCACCTCTGCAGCATGTCAGCGCAGTGTTGGAGCAAGGAGCCGCAGAGCAAGCTGGTATAAGAAAGGGAGACAGGATCCTCGAAGTGTAAGTATTCTAATTTAAATAAATATATAGGTGGTATCGGCGAACTCCCAACGGTAGGCGGTAACCCAAATTACCTAAGGTATTTCCAATAATAACTACCCATGAACAAATTTTTGCCATCGTTATTAAAATTAAATGTTCCCAAATCCATTTTTCTTATTACTCTATTTGATTGTACTTTAAAATTTATTTACATAAATATTAAATACCTTAACTAAACAGGAACGATTTATGAAATAACTTTTGTAACAACTTAGTGAAAGTGACTTTATCTTCAACTTACTCAATTATTTAAACATAGATTAGCTTCTACTTGGGTTATTGGTTGTTATATGTAGGTTAGTAGTACTCCTAGTACTCATAACAAAATAATAGTCTTGAATCTAGTCATTAGGAAAAAAACATTAATTTAAAAATAAAATCATTAATTAGTTATTGATCGAAAAATATATTTTGCAGTGTAATTAATAGCTATAAATGAGAGTTTCAGGATATATTATGAAAAATATCTTGATATTTATGGCTTAATATATATCATTGATATATATCCAGCAGCAATCTAATTATAAAATAGTTAAATCAGAACAAAAATAAAGATTATTTGTCGTATTCCTGTGTAAATTGTTCTTCTCCATGGATGTATTAAAGTCTAGTGTATGACAAGGGCCTCTCATTAAAAGTAGAATTTGTTTTTTTTTGACAACTGTACAATCACAAGTGTTGTGTTAAATCATTAACTTCTGAACTATTCAACCAACTTCAAAAAAGTAGGAGGTTCTCAATTTGACTTTTTTTTCATGTGTCCTTGGAACATTTTCTAGATGAACCAATTTTGATTCTTTTTTTATTTGAAAGCTAGTGCTTCTCATGTGATCCCATATAAATTTGATAAGGATTTGACCAGTAGTTTTTGAGTTATCATTAATACTGTGTATTTAATTGACATCAAATACATTGATGATATTCTCATTTTATTTATATTGAAGTTGCTCATACAACATTTTTAATTTTAGCACTTGTAACATAAACTATCAATTGCATAGAACTCACTATAATAGGAACCAATTCAGTGAGATGTCAGGAACCTAATGCTGATTTTCTATTGGCCCCCTAAATTGTATTCGTCTTCACCTCCGAAACCAGTTACCGTGTACTAGTTTTATTCAATTACTGTGTACTTCTGCAAGGACAATCAGTATACTTGAATTCTATGAAAAAACATATATAATAACTTATAAACATATATAATAACCTATAATAGATAAAATATGTATATAATATGTGACAGGATACAAATTAAATACTTTATTATTAACAATATACAGCGCGTGAAACTGTAACAACATAACATCAGCAAAAAATTAAATAAAACAAAATATAAAACATAAAATGTACCTCTTAAATAACCATCAAATATAGGACATGTTAGCATTAGTGTTAACCATGCCTAGGTCTTTTTGTGCATTTAACAAGTACTGTTTTAGGTGACCTTTAACACTAGTAATAGTGCTTAGCTGCCTTAGAGGTGGTGATATGTTATTCCATATTTTCGAGGCTGCGAAATTCTCAATTAAAAGCTGCCGATTTGTGCTTTTGTAACAAAAGTTGCTGCAAGCACTTTCTTCTATCACATTGCCTCCTTGTAGCAACCCAAGTGTGTTTTATGATGCCAAAAAGCAATCATGCTAGGTGCAATTTCTGTCTCGACTTCATTTTAAGTATGGCATGATCATTAAAAAATGGAGTGGCATGCCCCCGAAAAGGAACTGGAAAACTCCTTTCAGTACAATGCCTAAATCTACCAGTAATTTATTTAATTGATTCTTTGTCCCAAATATGTTTTATCAGTTAATAGTAACGTTATGCTCAGACCACACAGCGACACATTCGAAATTGTTATTTAGATCCTTAACAGCTGTTTCCCATTGACTGGGTTTGAACGAGATGTAAAGTTATGTGTCGTCTGCATACATTATGATACTGACATTTTCCAATATTTTTTGGTAAGGAAGCACAGAATAAAAAGAAATTTTTGTCTGTGAAATTGCTGTCTGTTAGTCTGACTAAAACTCAAAAAAGGCTCGAATGATTTTGATGAATTTTTTTGAGTGCATTTGAGTGGGTTTCTGGATGGTTTAGATTTAGAACTGGACCTGGTAGTTGGCGCTGTTGTCGAGTTTCAGAAATACAGGTGATATGAAGCCAGGGTAGATCATTAGTTGATTGATATTTATATTGATTGATACCCAATTTTGTTCAAGATTGCTTCATGGTGCTGATCAGTATTTTAAGTATAAAATCAAATGTATTTCTGAAAGCAAAATTGGTGTTACACTAGTTGACCCTATTTGAAAAATCGACAAATGCACCTTGTTCCAAGTTGTTTTAAAGATAAGATTTTTTTTTAATAGGGTTAGGGTGACAAACGAGCATACAGTCCACCAGATGTTAAGTGGTTGCTGTGGCCCATAGACATCTACACCTATCTTCGATTACGAATCAAAATGTGGATATGTTGTCACCCGTGAGGACTAAGATGGAATACCTCATTTCCAGTAAAAGGGTCTCCGGTTATCTACACTAACAATATGAAACACAGCAACATTAAGCTACTATTTGATACCGGTATTCTGTGAGAGCGTGGTCCTTCCCCAGTCGAGCCGACCCATTCGTGCTGCAACGACTACTAATATAACTGCAGCATGGCTCTACCAAATAAAAAATAAAGTTATTTAACTTTATTATTCTTTTATACTTTAATACTTTGTCATTAAATGACTGCCTCTAGTCCAGTGGCTGTAAACGCAACTACAGATCATGAGATCCCGGATTGGGCAAAAAAATCCCTTTTTGAGTTTTTCTCATAAAATTCTCAGTAGCTCCCCAGAGTCAGGAAGTTGGTGGTGTCTCACCCTATATACCTCGGAACACATAAAGCCATTGGTCGTGCCTGATCTCTCTCCGGTCATGACGGTTTACCGTCCCATCTTCCCCGAGAATGCAGCTGTGCTTACGCATACGCTTGGGCAATATAATCCTGTCCTTCGCGGATGGCTAGTCTCCATTGAGTCTGGCGGCAGTGACCAAAATTCGGGCTAGAGGACATTATAAAATGATATATTC